AGGCTTTAGCTTTACTTCTTACATTCGTTACGCACACACTCAGCTCATGAATATCTTAGATATTTTAATTGTGTTACGATAAACTATTATTAGTTTGTAATAACTTTTTATTACATGAAATCCGCGTAATGTTTTTAATAAAAGATTGATTCCTTGCGGCTTTTTGTTACTTTCGAATCGTTTAATTCTGTCATTCTCGTGTGTTATTTAGCATTCTTAATCCGGAAAAAGTAATAGGTAAATTATATTTAAATTATTTATCTCTAAATGTTTATGAATGCTATTCTTATACACACATGTATTATTCTATTTAGTTCAAATTGTTTCATAATTTAAAAAAGATGTTTGCATTTATCTTTATTTAATATATTATCAATCTTTATTTAATTATAAATCATTAAAGAAAACGATATAAAAATCGAAGTATCCCTAATTTTGGGATGTCAGAAATACCTCACGTGAGCAATTATGTAAAAAAACCACGCTATCAAACCACTTTTTGCCTCTTGCCTTTTATCAGAACATTGGTTGATAAGAAATATTCGAAATTCTAAAACAAATGTCAAATATTTTCTTCGATGTATCACGATATAACGGTGGTATCACATACAACTCGCACCGCTAAAACTAGAAAGCTAAGTTCTAAGAAAATTGATATAAGAAATTTCATATAAGAAGTTTCATTCCGCTACGAAAAATACTAATTTATAAATTATACTTTTTATCACGTAATATAAAGTCAAGTTATCTATATACTAAAATATACAGAGTTCAGTCTTATTTAAAATAAAGCTATTCAAAATATATACTTTTAATAAAATAGATAAAACGATTACTTATTATTTTAAATAACTTCTTCTGGTCTATTTCTTAAGTAATATTTCAAATAAATTTTCAGAATTTATTTTATACTTTTTAAATAAATCGTACCAATCAGGGGATCTGTCGTATTTAAAATAATTTTATTTAAAATATGTATTTTATAAATAAAGATAATAAAGCTGTTATTTAGTATTTATTCTTTTAAAAAACTGACTTATTCCTTATATTCTTCAAATAACTTCAAATAAGTTTTTGGAATCTAAAGTGAGATGTTTCGTATTATCTGGTATAGTATATATTTGTCGCAAATATGTTTTAAAAAGAATTATATACGTAAAGAAGAGCGGCATGGCTACCTGCCTACACGAGCGTCGATAAATGATTGATTACACGGCGAGCAGTAACTGCACGTGAACTGCGTAAACATGTCGCGCCGCTCGCCCGCCCTACCGCGTCAAAACAAGTCCCAAGGACGCGCGCCAACCGTCTAAGGCTGAGGTCCACTTGACGCTACAAACGCTTCAAAGCATTCTTTGATTAGTCAATTCGTAAAATTCTTTATTCTGATTGGTCGCTCAAACACTTCGAAGCGTTTGTAGCGTTAAGTGAACCGCAGCCAAAAGGTACTTTTTTATGCTGACGCTCGACGCTTATTTTCGGCGTCAAAATAAGTCACGTGATTAGGCGATTTTTGGCGTGCTTCTGGTATAGCAACCAAAAGCAACCGCGGTTGGGGCTATCTTTGTCTTCTGATCCCTGAAAACGAAGATAGCCTCAACCGCGGTTGTTTTTGGTTGCTATATCAGAAGCACGCCAAAATTCGTCTATAAACGAATATCAATTTTGATCACATGATCTATTTTGACGCTGAAAATGAGCGTCGAGCGTCAGCATGAAAAGGTACCTTAACTGTCGAAATATTAACGCGTATTACGAAAAAAGTTAAATAATCGTTATATATTTTATATTCTCCGATAAATAGACTTTATTACTTTATTTCTTAGATTTGTTACGCACTCACACAACTTATGACACTCATATTTTTGAACAAAACGCATTTTGAAAATCTGTTCCTCATATAGAATACAGGAATTACAAATCACTGTTTTATTTCAATTAGTATCATATTTTAACTTAGTACTTAGAATTCAACAAATTTCGCATATTGCATTGTGAATATATATTTTACAACAATATCCACTTTTTTGCGGTGGATGGAAATAAATTGCTGAAATCGACGATTTCAGCGATTTATTTTCATCAGAAGCACCGAAAAAAATGAATATTGTTGTGTAGTTTGCATCCATTTCTTCAGAGAGCAGTAGTGTGCGGAGGTATTTTGAGGTTACAGGAAAAAGGCCCTTCGTGTCCTCTCTCAAGTTTCTCTCTGGTGCGACTTAGCGCCATTTTTTGTATACAGTCAGCTGATGCTCGGTGATGCTCTCGTATTCGCGAAACTCGACGAAATCGTCTGAATGCAAAATATACCTTATCTCGCGTACTTTACGTAATGCGTATATAAACGGGATCACGACAGCTCGAGTCTGTCGTGTAATTAGACAGTCGTTTCGTTATTTATGACTCACCACGAGAGTATCAACGTCTAATATTTCGATTCTAACATTGTTACGCGCCATACTATGAAGACATTTCTTATTGCAGCATTGGTATGATCAGGTTTACATTCGCTGAAATTCTGTGAGACTGAAATTTCTACGTAATAAACTATTTGGTTAAACTTTTAGATAACTTATGTATCGGCACTGAACGAGGAATTGTTGCACTACGTTAGCGATGATGTACCCAGCGGCTCTTATAAATATTACAGCTTGACATATGACGGTAATATTAAGATACGGTTGACATCAATGTGAGTAACATTGTTAATAGAAATTAAATAATGCTGCGATTACTGCCCAACATTCTTATTCTATTGATAAAATAGAATCTTTTTTCTTTGTTAAGATACACGATGCATTGTGTGTTTTATACCTTTTTTAGAACAGGAGATGCAGATTTATATGCATCACAGATTATAAGCAAACCGACGTACGAGCCGGATCATTATTGTCTGCAATCCACAACTTGTGGAGAAGATACTATTTTCATACCTAAGAGGTACTTACTATATATTATAATCTTAAGTTTATTTTATTATTCTCAATATGTTACATTTTCTCAGCTTTAAACGGCCTGTAAGTATTGGTGTTTATGGCCATCCGTCGCACGAAATTAGTAAATACACTTTGTTGGTGTCTGAAGTAATAGTTGAGGACGATACTTCATCTTACGACGAGACATCAGGAAATACTTACAAAACTCGTGATAGAGTAAGCCATGAATTACTATATAATTCTATTTTTCTTACTTTTATTTATACTTATTTTATTTCATATGAGCGTCATACTGTATTTATTTTAGATCAGAGATATTTTATTTTTTGCCAATCTGGATCTCTTATTTGAATTATTGTTTTGAAATAATTGCTGGAGCAATTAAGAAATTTAGAAATTGAATTCTCGAAAATTATCGATAAACATGTTGGAATACGAAAACCAAATCTTCCTTGACATCCTTCAGGAGGATGGATTAGTTATTACTGCTAAGTAAGTATATTTTATCTTTGCTGTATCAGATTTCATATAATAATGTAATTTTATTATTTATTGGAAAATGTTCACAGGGGTCTTGGTATAGAAACTGTTTTTACAAATGTGATAAAAGCTTATTTGGATCCGGGAAATCTGGTTATAGTTCTAGGAACCACTGATTATGATGAGCGTTACTTTATTGATCTACTTAAAAGTTATGGAACAAGTAGATTACCATTTGTAGTTAATGCAGAATGTTCTTCTAACGAAAGGTATAATTAAAAAAATATTCCTGTTTTATATATGCATTTAATATAATCAATTATCAAATACAGGGAAATAATGTATTTGGAAGGTGGAGTGCTGTTTATATCGGGTCGTATTTTGGTGGTAGATCTGTTAAAAAATAGAGTTCCACTGCACTTGGTCACTGGCATTCTCGTCTATAGAGCTCACAATATACTGAATGCTTATCAAGAAGCATTTGCATTGCGTTTGTACAGACAAAATAATAAGACTGGATTTATCAAGGCATTCACAAGTTCGTCACTGGCTTTTACAGTTGGATTTTTGAAAGTAGAACGAGTTATGAAAGCTTTGTTCGTGAAGAAATTATATTTATGGCCGCGTTTCCACGCAACTATTAATAATTGCTTGTCTAAGCATGAGCCCGATGTTATAGAATTACATGTGCAGATCACAACAAAGATGCAAAACATTCAAAGTACTTTGCTTGATGTTATGAATTATGTCGTAAAAGAATTAAAGAGGCTCAATAAATATTTAGATTTAGACGAATTGACTGTGGAAAATGCAGTGGCAAAGAAATTTCACAAGCAGTTACATTTGCAAATAGATCCAATTTGGCATCAACTTAGTATAACGACCAAACAATTTTTTTCTGACTTAAAAACATTACGTTCCCTTATTATATCTTTGACGTACGAAGATTCTGTTTCATTTTATGTCATGCTAAATCGTTTACGGACTATGGAATATGCTATGAAAGCCGGTGGTTGGATAATGTTGGATGAATTCGAGAATCTGTTTAAGTATGCCAGAAGCAGAGTTTATACAGAAAAGAATGAACTGAAACCAGAACCAAACCCAAAATGGGAAGCTTTATCAGAAGTCTTATTTGAGATTCAAGAACAGAAACATAAGAAAAAAGATTATGAAAATATTGATAAAGTTCTTATCTTGGTACACGATAATCATATATGTCGCCAATTGAAGAATTACTTAACTATGGGTGCAAATGAATACTTACTTTATGAAGCTCTGAAAAAACTATCGCATAATAAAGAACAAAAGACAAGTGACGATAGTAGAAAGAAAACGAAAGATCAGCCATCAACATCTGAAAGTAACATAGATGAAGAAACGGAAGACACTCAAGATACTTATGTGCTCACCTTGTCGCAAAAATGCGTAGAAGGAACTCAATCCAATACTTCTACAGAAGATATCAAACATCAGACATTGTTTGAAGAATGTTCGCAAGTAAATTACATATTATAACATTTAGAAAATATTTATTTATTAAAGGAAATGCTTTTTTATTAATTCTGTTCTCTGATTTTAAAGATTGCAGAATTGGATTTGACTAGAGAACATTATGCAACATCTGCACCTATCGTTTTTATACAAGCCATAAAGAAAGGAGGAGATCCAATGGCCTTACAACGAATGTTAACCGAGCATATCCCAAACAATATTATTTTGTATGCAACCGATATCGGCATTGTGAGGCAATTAGAGATATATCAGAATAATAATCCGTCATTAAATTTAAAAGTGTATTTTTTAATTTATGGTGGATCGATTGAGGAACAAGAATATCTTACTTCCTTACGACGAGAAAAGGAAGCATTTGAGTCTTTGATTACTACGAAAATTGTGAATATTCTAATAATCTTATAAAAAACAATATATACTGAACAATTATGTTACTATATAATTAATAATTTTTATTATTTTTAGACCATGGTTGTGCCAGAAAATCAGGACGGCAAATCGGATGATTGTTTGGCTTTTACAATTCAATCAGATGATGCAAATCAGGAAAACACGCGTAAAGGAGGGATGCAATCTGAAGTCAAAATAATTCCAAAAGTTATTGTCGATATGAGAGAATTTAGAAGTGAGCTACCAGCTATTCTCTATACGCGCGGTATAAAAATCGAACCAGTAACATTAGTGGTAAGTGAAATTTATAAAAGTATATTTTGATATAAAATATTGTTTCTACATGATTTACAATGTTATAGGTAGGTGATTATATTTTAACACCAGAAATATGTGTTGAGAGGAAAAGCATATCTGATTTAATCGGTTCTTTACTTTCCGGGAGATTATATAATCAAGCAGTTTCCATGACAAGGCATTATGCTAAACCTATGCTTCTCATAGAATTTGATCAAAATAAACCATTCTGTTTTCAGGTATCCAATTTTATAAAAATAACGTAAGAATGCACAATTTTCTTCATATAATTATAAAGAATATATTATTATATTAATATATATCTATTGTTTTAGGGAAATTATTATGTTAGTAAAGATCTTAAAAGTAATGACATAATGGCAAAACTGCAATTAATGATTTAATATATGTCATAAATAATTACATTATAGATACTAAAGTTATATGTTCGTAGCAAGGACGAGATCAGCCCGATTCCAATGTAGCTGCTAAAATTGGAGCAGATGAAGACACAGAAAACAAGCAAATAATAGTAGAAAAATATAATCCTCACATCCAAGATTTTATAGGTAAATTACCGGGTGTACATTCGAAAAATTTGCGTGTCCTATTAAATAAAGGGAAATCATTAGATCATCTTATCAAGCTATCACAAGTATGTAAAAACAACAATTAAAAGACTTAAATTCTTTATAATATATTTTTTTTCTTACAATTTCTAAGTAAAAATATTAAAAATTAATAATTTTTCTATAAATAGGAAGAACTAAAAGAAATACTTGGAAATAAAAATGATGCTGAATTATTATATAAAGCTCTACACGAGAAATGTTTATCAACAGATGAAGGTCCGGGAACTAGCAAAGTTTCTAAAGTACGTGGTAAGAAACTTTTCTCTAGAGTAAAAAAATAATGTAAAAGATGTATCTTGATATTTTTAGTACATTTAAAATATTAATAAAAAAATATTACAATCTGATAAACATATTTTGTAAAATACAGTTATATTATGTTATCCTTGATACAAGTAAGAAAATGTATATATAAAAAGCAATATAGATAAATTTATAAAAAGCAATATAGATAAATTTATTAGATAATAACCACAAATATACAAGATCTTAATGTATAAAGATGTAATAGTTATATTTCACAAAATGAGTCAACAAAAAATTTATTAATAGAATTTCGAATAAAATTAGTCGAGATAAATTTAGCTTCTATTCACAGAAAATCATTTATAAATTACACCTGAAAATTATTAATGCATTATTTATGTCAATTTAATCGATATATCTTTTTTTTCAATATTACTTACATTGCTTCAGTAAGATTCTCAATATCACTCTCTTCATCGCTGTTACTAGTTTCATCAAGATTGTATAAAAATGAATCATTTTCAGACATAGGAAAATAATATCTGGAATAAATAATAAATCACTTAACATAATTTCTGTTTTTATGTAAATTGTATATAATTACAATCGTATTTACTCTGGCTGATCCCAAACTTTTTGTGTGGCAATTTTACAATGTTGTTGATTTTTCATATGTTCCAAAACATTGTCCGATTTTGTTTCGCAGAAGATACATCGTTGTAATTGAATTTGTCTTTTTATGTAATTGACTACTTTCACCTATAATTTGATAATAACATGTTACAAAAAGGGGAGATATATATTGATAAAAATATAAAATTAATAATTGCACGACAATTCTTTACTTTCTGGTAAAAGGTCAGGTCTTTGACAGTTTCTTCAAAATCAAAACTATGTGTCTCTTTCATATGCCTTAGAATACAAGTAAATTCATTGTTGCTATAATTACAAAATAAACACGTAATTGTGATAGATTCGTCATTCCAATCAGACCACGAGCTTTCTTCATCCTCGTTTTCGCTACTGCCACCTCTTATGTCGGGTTTTGTTTTCAAATTAGTCTGTAGAAATAAAATATTATATTTCTGAAGTATTAACATTTCTTATCTCAAATCGCACATTACCTGTTTTCGTTCCCAAGTCTTTTCTGGCTCTAGGTAATTGTTTATATAAAATTTATCGTACGCTTTATTATGAGGATTTATGCTTTTGTGAAATTTTTTCCGCATATGTTCTTTTAATACCATACGATCTTTAAATGTTCCCTCACAATAAATGCATATTAAACTGAAACGATTGATAGAGATAATTATATAATTTCATATAAATATTCTTAATACATACATACATATATACATATCGCATTATTTTGGAATACATGTAGAATTCAATGACATATGTATATCAGTTTTTTTTAATGTAATACCTTTCAATATTGTTTTGGATTTTATCTAGAAACTCATCCACGAACACTAAGTTTCCTGGCTTGCCAAGATAAAGATTGTGCTTCTGATACAAGTGTTCTATGTACGCAGCACGTGATCCACAGATTTCAGTACGGCAAAATATACAGCCGCGCTTAAAACTAGTATCTGCACGCTCAGCTTCTTGTTGTGCCAATATCCATTCCTTAACATAGTAATTACAAATCGTTATAAAAGATTATAAGAAAAATTATTATATAAGATTATTATAAGAATCGAGATACAAAAGATTATTATAAATTACAAGAGATTATTATAACTTTATTGACTTTTCATTGATGTACGTACTAGTTTAGCTCGATGTATCTCGTCTCTCAAAGTCTTGTCTTCCGACAGACAGTCAGAAAGCAGAAAGTAATGTTCGTTTTTACTTGGCTGTCCATCCGGTGTGCAATCCATTAACACTGTACTACAATAGGTCGTCAATGGTGCTTCTTTAAACTTTGTGCTCCAGTAATGTACATAACTAAAATTATCTCAGTATTATTATACTTTACTACAAAGAATATAAACATGATATGAAGTGATCATCTTACCTCCTTAAATTGGCTATTTTCCAAACATCAGCTATAACGAGACGATGCACTTTAAATAAGTGTGTAAGAAGATCCATCTCGTTCGTCGGAAGAACAAATGTGCAATCACACACTAAGCATTTCGTATCACATGGCTTATCGTCCAAACCGACGAATTGTGACTTGTACATTGCGAGTAATTTGAATTGTAAGTTTGATATAAGAAAGAGCCCGTATTATAATTATTTATTTATTTATTTATTATTTATGTGTATTCTTTTTTATTTTACGTATGTTTACTGTCGCAAATGCGGTCAGAAATCTTGCTGCAATGCATTAGATTTTGATATATTCAACACCGACCGAAATTTCTATTGAAGGATATTTGCATTCTGTGATTTCGGGGCGAGGAATTTCGACGGATTTACAATTAAATTATGATTGATTGCAACTACTCCGTATAGCAACAAAATCCGAGGCCCGAGGCTGACGACCATCAGCTGTTCCATACTAATTTCATGATATGCTCTTGTGCATATTTCCGCAAGCGCCAATCAGGGACTTGTTCAAGCTTAAGCGGGGAGCACAGACTCTTGCATAACGCATAACACGTAATGCATAAGAAAATGTACCAATCAAAGCCCTCCGTTTCCTTCCTTTCCTTGAAATAAAGAATTCTGATTGATTGAATTTCTTATGCATTACATGTTATGCGTTATGCAAAAGTCTGTGCTCCCCGCTTTACGTCACACGGACTGCGGTCCACTTGACGCTACAAACGCTTCGAAGCAATCAGAACAAAGAATTTTACGAATTGACTAATCAAAGAATGCTTCGAAGCGTTTGTAACGTGAAG